GTCTGGTGTTCACTGTTGCATTGTGGGGGCCTTTTTGCTTGGCAGTTTTTCTTTGGGGGGATTGGCATGCCTGTTTTCTCGGGGGGCGGGCGGGCCCGTTGGGTGGGGGTCCTGCTGGCGGCGCGCCGCTGGTGTGTGGGGGTCTGGGCGGCCCCAGTGTTGAGGGGCTGGTGTGGATGGGCTGGCTGCGCTAACTGGGTTTTCGGGTGTGTTTTCCCGCTATGAGGCATGGTGGAGGTGCTTTGTTCCCGCTGATCGCAGCGGGTGTGGCTGCGTGGCGGGCGGAGTGGCTCTGCCCGGCGCGCGTCAGGGGGCTGGAGCGGCAGAGCGGTTGTGCTGCTCTTGCTGCATCCGGTGTGGGACGGTTGTGCTGGGGGGTTTGGGTTGCGCCGGCTACGGTCTGCTCTTTTTGCAGTCAGGCGCCGAGCGGCTTTCTGCTCTTGGGTTGTTTCTGTGCACGGTGTGTTGCGTTGCACGCTGTAAGCATCAGTCTTGGTGGGGTGGGGCCTCGCTTTTGGCCTGGGGGGCGTTTTGGGGGGGTTCCGCGATGCTGGTTCGCGGCGGATGTGCGTGGGCCCGGGCTGTGGGCGTGGCCACCTGTGTGTTTTTCCTGGGTGGCGTGGTCGCATTGGGTGTTGCAGCCGGTTGCAGGGGCTTGGTGCCGGGGCGTGTTTCGATGTTCTGTGGGGCCGTGGGCATTTCGGTCGGTGTTGTGGGGGGGCCGATGTTCGGTGCCCGGCCCTACTTCAGGGTGGCCGGCCGAGCCCGCGGACTCGTCCCCGCGGCTTCCCGGGCTGCCGGCATGGCTGCGGCTGGGGGGCTTCCTCGGGGCGGTCTCTCCTCCTCCCTTGGTGGGGGACTGATTTCCGGGGCTGGCCCCTCCTTGGTGCCTTCGCTCTTGGGGTCCCTTTGGGCGCCTGGGGCTTTGGGTCTCCCGGAGCTGGACTCAGTGCTATGGGAGGGGCGCCTCTTCGGCTCTTCACAACCACTATTGCCATACTGCTCCACTTGTGAAAATAAAAAATCTGTTGGGCTCTTTTTGGCATCAAGACAATTATTCTTATTGCCACATCGCCAGACAGGACACTAAAAAAAAAAAAAAAAAAAAAAACTAAATGACCTGATTGACCAATACTATGGTTTTGATCTATGATGCACACAATCACATGCTTCCACATTATATCAGGGAAATATTCACACCAATATAAAGTGTCCGTTGGTATCGTGAAAACATTTTGAAAATGTAGTTTTGCTATCTAAACAAATATATCTCACTAATATTGAATCAAGAAATATAAAAGGAATGGACTAGTCTTCATGCTGCCTGAACCATTTTGGTCTCCGTCCCTAAAAAAAGTTGCATGCAGTGAAGAGAATTAAGACATGTCTATAAATCTGTTCTGATGAGTAAAATAAGGAGGTGTACTTTTGTTGTTTTATAGGGGACTAGATAATTACCAATCACAGGTTTTACTCCTCTTGGACTTTGTTTGTTTTTTATCTTAGAATTTTCATTGAAAATAGTCAGATACTATAGCTCAAACCACACCGTTTGATATACAGTATTCAATTAAATTCAATTTAGTTTATTTTTAAAGCGCCAATTCACAACACATGTCATCTCAAGGAACTTAATAATTCAACAAGATCATATAGTCAAATTGATTAAAGCTTTCTATCTAAGGAAAACCAGTTGATTGCATCGACTCATCTACTCAAAGGTAATTCCTCACACTAAGCATGCTTGTAGCGACAGTGGAGAGGAAAAACTCCCTTTTAACAGGAAGAAACCACCAGCAGAACAAGTCTCAGTGTGAGTGGCCATCTGCAGAGGCCGACTGGGGTTCAAGGTGACAGACGCAGACCTACAGGACTTAAATATACTAAAAGACTGGATTTTGTACCTTAAAGGAATAGTACACCCAAAACATGATTAGCCTTCATTTTCTACTCACCCCCATGCTGAAGAACACTCTGGAGTACTTTTTTGATATCTCAAATGCATCTGGAGATCTGGGAGGCTTCTTGCTGTCTGCTGACATTCAAATAATGGAGGTCTATGGCGCCCGAGACAGAAAGGTCCATAAAAGTCCACCTCGAAACGAAGTCATTTAGAGTGTTTTTAGAGCATAAACAGTAGTGTATAGGATTTCCTGAAAGCGCGTTCACGAGTCTACGGAAACCGCTGCAGACCAAACCAGACGAAAGTGCGCATTCAGCTCGGCAAAGAACTCATGCTCTTCCTCAACACTGAAGTCCTCAGACATTTTTCTTTCGTTGTTTCTTTCTTTGCACAGGTAAACAGCACATTTCTTCTTCTACGCTTGCATTATCGGCAGAGCAGACGCTGAATGCGCACTTTCGCTCTGGAAGTCCTCCTGGAAGCCTGTGGATGCCTGGAAGTCTGGATCCTGCCACCTGTTTCTGTTCCTGCCTGATCTGGATTCTGCCTGTTCCGTCTGTTCCTATCTGTTCTGGATCCCTCACCAGGATAGGCTTCCAGCATAACCTCTGGGACTGCAGCACTGGGGACATTCTTGGTCTGGACTGTTAAACCAGGTAAGTGACCAACCCAGATAATCATAAATCAGTTGATCTTGGTCACTTACCTGTGTTTCCTCCCTAGAGTGTCTAAGATTGGGCGGTGCCCCGCCCCCCCCCGCTTGCAGTGTCCGCGAGCCACAGCTCCGCTTTTATTTTGTTTTATTTAATAAACGTTTGAACTTTCCTACTGACTGTCTCGCCTTGAATACTGGGTCCATCTGTCCGCGGTCCATGACACAAACAACCATTTATTCACACTCAAACCTAAGGAGAATTTAGAGAAGCCAATAAACCAATTAACCTCCCACAGTCCAAAAACATGACTGTTTTTGAACTGTGGGAGTAATTGTAAAACATTTCAAAGATATTTCGATTTTGAAAAAAATAATCTATTCAGTATGTTTTCGTATATTAAAAAAAAAACTTTTTTTTTAGGCCTCCACAAAGCCGGTTACATTTTAATTACAGGTATTCTCTTGCAAAACAAAAAACAACAAGAAAAGCAGTCTGGGTCTACTAACATCAGGCAGAGAAGTTTCAAAAAATCTGACATAAAACAAAACTCTTTGTGGCTGATAATATGCCATCTGATCTCAGAAAGTTGCTGTTTCAATCTTATAATAAATCAGGGTTAATTGCAGCTTTTGTCTCCATTTCTGGAGGATGGAAGCAAGTTTTCAACAGAGGGCAGGCATGAGGTCACTTGTTGCGTTATGATAATTTGGTCACTAGAAGGCAGTGTTGAACTATTATTTGATCCATGTTCCTCCCCTCAATGCCATAATAGAAAGACTTTGGATGTGATACTTAGGAGATTTGCATTTCTTCTGTTAAAGAAGCTGTTTATTTTGTTTTGTTCATTAGTAAAATCCCCATTATCACAGCAAGCTTTCACTTTTCTTCCAGGGGTCCAAAAAAATAAAGAAATGTATAATAAAAAAAAAATAAAAAAAACATTATAAACATAAAGAGAACAATATATGATCAAGCATTGTTTAGATTCTTATACAAAAGTCTCAATTTTTCTCCAAGTATTTAAAGCACTTTTAAAACATATTTAAAAGCTTTTTATTCAATAACATTTTTTATCAAAACCAAATAATTTTTTTTGTTTTTTAGGATGTTTCATTCCAACATTAATATTTCATATGAACTGTTATCTGTTTGCATTGCCTTAGCATCATGTTAGTAAAAGCATAGACTATACACTGGTTTCAAAAGTGTTGGGCTGGTCACAGAAATCAGACGTATCTTCTTTGACGCTTTTGATTAAACTTTGGCTATTTTAGTGGATGTGATTGATTATGCGTGCTAATGTTGGACGTGCCAAACTAACCAACTGCCACCACTCAAAAGGCGGTGGGATTTAAATCAGTGAAAGAATTTCGACGTGTATATATATTCAATAAAACAACACCCTCCCACAGCTAAAATCATGCACACACACCCGTAAAAAGAAGTATTGAAAACTTAAATAGGAGAAGACAATGTGAAACTGCCAGTATAGGGACCAACGTGTCACTAAATAATGCCTAAAAGGCGCACCAGAGTGTCTGCATAAGGATGGGGGCACATCTATGTCAATTGCGACACACACAGAGACAACCTGGTTTCTGAGTATAGATCAGCTTTTACAGTAATTCTGTTACTGTTGCAGTAACTAGCTCTGTAACTAAGTAGTTTGTGAAGTCAGTAAGTAGTTAATCATTATTACACTTTAAACAGATCCATTACCCGTTACTTAACATGTATAAATAAGGACAACGATTTTCTAATGTAAGCGCCCGACAGCAACGTTGATAACTTCAGCAGTCCTTGAACACAGGAGAGGCGACAGCACAGGGCTTCTGATTCAACGACAGCGTTTCAGCGTTACAGAATAAGCAGTCACTGCAGGCTACATATTGCTGTGATTTGCCTATTATGTGTGGGAACAAAGAATGTATAAATGTGGTTAGAAGCTGTAATCTAAAGGAGCTCAGCACCTCATCTTGACACTGACACCAGCTGTCTTTAATCAACATATGTTCTTTATTTTCTCAGAGTTATAATGATTTTAGTTTTTTATGATTTTCATGCAAAAATACAGGGATCAAACAGTCCAACCAAGGTTTTTATCCCTGGAACGGTGTAACCCCTGTTTAATTGTCAAACGTCAAGGTTTGGTTTGGAGGAATCTTACTTTGACAGTTACACGTTTGTCCAGGGAGAGATCCATGAGAGCAAAAACAGGCAAAATGATAAAGGGGAAAAACCAGAGTATGGAATCCAGGAGCCGGTCCAAAGTCAAAGCCTGGTTATCCGAGAACCAAACACCATCCAGCAGAGAATGTGTTCAGGGCAAAGAGAACAGGTCAGAAAAGTCAAGACATGGTACAGGATGTGAATCTAGATAACAACTCTTTCAATGACATTGTGTATAATTGCTGCTACTACACAAATAATTAATTCAACAGGACAATCCTATCAAAAAATAAGCTGGAACCGTGTGGATTTGATAGATTACTATTGGTACGACCTGTCCAGAAAAAAAAATGCAGTCTTTGATAGAATCCTGCCCCTTTTGTGAGAGCTTGCTTTAGTATTTACACTTCTCTACACCTTCTATTTTATAAATCAGGCAGAGCTGCTGTAAGTTCTTTTAAAAATCCACTGTAACACACCGACAGGGATCTAAAACACACCAATAGTGATCTAAAACAGAATGATGGTGATCATCGCTAATAGTGATCTGATGTGGCAAGGCATATGAGTAATCACAGACTACAACACACCCTCCCGTCTGGTGGATGCAGCTGAGCTGACTTCCTAAATGAACTAAACTAATTCTTTGGAAGGTTTGAGGCACTAAGATGTACTTCAGCAATAAAAACCCTGACATTGCTTAAGTGTGGAAAATGCTGAGAACAGTCAACCCAAGAAAGGCTCCAGGTCCCGTTAACATACATGGGCTGGTGTTCATCAACACCTCGCTTGTCCAATCCATAGTAGCAGCATGCTTTAAGATGCCACCATCCTTCCAGTCCCAAAGAAGCCTAAGGTCACCTCACTCAATGACTAGGCCCTGTCACACTCACTCCCATCATGAAGAAGTGCTTCAAAAGGCTAACACATCATCTCCAGTCTCCCCCCAACGTTCTACCCGTTCCAGTTTGGCTAGAGTACCTCTCCACTGAGGACACCATCCCCTGTACTCTTCACATGAGCCTGGCACACCTGGAGTAGAAGAACACACATATGTGGATGCTGTTCCTGGACTG